TGGCTTTTACGTTTTAACAAACGGTTTCAAAAAAGCTGTTTCGAGTTTGCTCGTTTACCTTTTACCGATTCGTAATAGTATGAAACTGTTTGATGACGGTGAACGAGCCCATTGTTACTTTAGTATGTGTTTAATACTTATGAACCAAACGACAAAAATTGATTAATATTTATACGTTTCCCAGTGTATTATTTATAAGTTCCCATGCATTGGTACATACGAAAACTCATTCAGTTTCGCTTCTTGGGTAGGTATTCTTTGCCAGAAGAACTAATTAAAAGGGTATTTTGTAATTCTAATATAGGATATGTTGCAACTTGTAGCTGTTGAAAAGTCAGGCTTTTTTGTAAATCAAAATGTGGTGACACAACTGTCAATATTGTCTTCCAATTAAAGATCAAGAGGACGTTGTCGATAGAAACGATAGCGACCTTTGATTTTGTTTACTATGTATAGATGGCGATACCATTTTTGATCGTTGAATGCTAAACCCGTTGTTATTGTGTTCGATTGAATTTCATATTGCCATCAGACTCCATTAGAGATTGGAGTCGAGAATTTATATTCCCTGCTGAAGAGTCCTAATAAGGACGAAACCGGTCCAAGAATTACTTTTTCCTTAGTAAGCAAAATCACGATACACATACTAACGATATGCTGACTTTCGATTCAAAATTCGTCCAAACCGCGCAATGACTTAATGCGGGACGAACTTTCAAGTTATTTTGACACTTTTCGATTGAATAGTGTAAAATAATTTAAAATTTATTTGTTTTTGTGTTAATAGTGACTATATTTTTCTATATATAATAAATTCTTATCAAATAAATTGAAGTTGCCCTACCACTTTGAGTAAAATAGTTGTGAGATTCATCTTAAACATAGACGCAAGAAAAGGAAACTGAATGCCACCAGGTGCACGGGCCTCATTAAGCAAAGAAAATAAATCGGTATTTTAAAATTTTATCAGATAAAACAGTAGATTCCTGTCCCAATACAACGGTTCTTTTAAAGTAATGCCATGCATGAGCAGGACACGAATATGTATAAGAATAAGTAAATGACAGAAAAATTGGTTTAAATTTACCAAATAAAAAGTACCTAATTTTGTTGTGTACTTACTTTTTATAAATAAATAATTTATTTCTCTACACTTATTTTGCCCAGAAAGTAAAAATTTGAGTCAAACTTGTATTTTTAGTCTATATTTTTTACTTATGGCCAGGTTATGGATTTTTACACAAAACACCTATAGTTTATGAGAAAAATTATTATTTTTATTAGTATTATTTACCTTGTACCTTCATATTTGTAAACAAATATATTTCAAAATAACCAATAAAGCTTAAGTAACTGCATAAAATCTAAAATTGGCAAAATATCGAATTTGCCATTTACTGCTTATAATTCTATATCCCACGTGACGTCACCTTCAGTCAGCTGCATGCGCCGGAACATACCGATAGTCTGTATATCGTGAGCAAAATCAAAAGTAGAATGTTGAAATTATTTTCTATCTCTACTTTTTCTTTTGACGTAATCCAATACTAATCGTATTGGCCAAAGGAGTAGTTGTTGTGAAAAGCGAAACGACTACCCATATTATTGTGACTATGACTTTGAGATTATTTTGATGTATTTTAAAAAAATTAAAGCAATTTTTTTGGTTAATTTCGTCAAAAAGGGTGGTTTGTAAGGGTTGAAACATTACAATAGATCATATAGATCATAAATTATAATATATAATATAAAAAATAAAAAAACGTACATCAAGAGGTTAATATAATCTAAATTACAAATTTTCACTAGTAATACCACTAGAGGTCAAATTATTTCCGGAAATTTTTTCGAGCTCATGAATATTTTGAAAATTTCCCGAGTCGCAGACGAGGGAAATTTTCTAAAAATATTCATGAGCGAGAAAAAATTTCCTGATATTAATTTGACCTCGCGTGGTATTCGGTAAGAAAATTCCACGCCGAATTATGGTTGAAAATTAAATATTTTTAAAATTTATTTTTCGTTCCTCAACAATGCAAATTATTTTCTCCAAGTCACCAGTGAAACATAAAAGGTGTTGTCGCCTTGATTGTTGAGTTGTCATGGTAACTAAGTGAGACCCGAACCTCGAATATAATTTCAGTTTTGAAGTTGTCAAGCGGCCCGACGTAAAAAAATGTTTCGCTTCGGTCAAGAAAGCAAAGAAAATATTTGTCAGGAGATTTACAAACTTTTGCGCAGAAAAATCATATAATTTCGATAGAGCGGATATACCTGTGGAAGAATTGCCGCTTATTCTTGAAGATTATGGGTTCAACATGCGAAAAAAGAATTCTGAAGATTACAAGGAGAGTGTCATCAAAGTTTTATGGAATTCCACAGCTAAGCAGTTGCAGGAATATTTTTTTGAAAAATATAATCGCAAATTCAATCCATTCTCTGACATAGAATTTTTGAACGCAAGAGCTGCAAAAAATGCTAAGCGCCGGAAGCTACAAATGGATCCAAGCAAGAGAAAGGAAAGTTCATCTGCACTATCAACAGACGAGCTGAGAAAAATCATTGAGATTTGGGACGAAAACACTCCGGAAGGACTGCAGAAAAAGTTTTGTTACGTTGTTGCTCATGAATTGGCCTGGAGAGGAAATTAAGGAGCGGCAGCACAACTAGAATATTTTGTGGAGGAAATTGACAATAGAGGCCGCATTGAGTATAACCCGGTTTTCTCCAAGACCACCCAAGGCGGTTCAAAGAAATTAGCTGACAGTAAGTGGTTAGTACCGAATACACTCAACGAAGAAATATGCCCAGTGAGACTGTTCAAAAAACTAACAAGCAAGCGAGGTCCTATCCTGGGAGAATCCCAGTTCCAAAGGCTGGTACAAAAACAGTCCAGTTGGACAGAATACAATATCTTCCTGGTTCAAATCCGCTGCATCATTGATTGGAATTGATGTTAAAAAGATCAAAATAACTAATCATTCTGCAAGGGCTACTGCTGTTTCAACTTTAGCCAAAACTGGAATTGGAGAAAGCAATTGATTAAAATAACCGGTCATGGTAGCAGTCACTCAATAAAACCATATCTGCAAATAGATTCGGCACATCATCAGGAAATAATTGATGCAATGAGGTCTGCTTCAACTTCGGCAAAGACGATTCAAGAATCTCTGAATCAAGAACCAGCAACTACTTCCAAGCAACCTTCCATAGTTTATAATAATTGCGTTTTCCACATAAATAATAACTACAATAGTCCAAATAATATAAATAATTAGATTTAAGTGTTATCAATTGTAACCGTATTCATATTATAAAATAAAAAACTAAAATTCTATTTTGTTATATTATTTTTCAACTCCTGGAAACCCAGCTAGGCAAATACAAATTTCGATAACATCCTCTAGGTCTATGGTTAAAAACCTGCGATAATTCTGAAATTTTTACTCATTGTAGTTGCATGAAAATGGCAACCTAAAGCGTAACATAATATATTTTTCTATTTTATATCAATTTTGGATTACTACAAGTGTTAGAAAGTTATAATTTTATCAAATTTAATTTAATGTGCTTTGCAATTTCGGTAATGGTTTCTCAGCCTGCCCTTTAATCAAGGTATATTGTTTTCTACTCATTGTAGTTACACAGTACTGCAGTTTTATGATGAAATATATTACATTCTCTGATTTTTTATTTACTTCGGGCTACTACAAGTGGTAGAAAACGAAAAAAATATTATTTTTGTATAGATACATACGTACAGGAACAGTTTTTAGGTACATAATAATATTCAGTTTGTCTTTACACCAATGGACCCTATAAACTGTTGATTTCTACCGATTGTAGTACCTCAAAAGTGCCATTTAGGAACAAAAAATGTAATATTCTTTTATTTTATAGTTACATCAGCTTACTACAAGTGGTAGAAAATTATAATTTTAGAGGTTTTTCGGAAAGCAGCATGAAGATTCACAACGCGTCATAGCTTTGGCTGCAATTATTTAGGCCTTCAAATTGCTTATTTCTACTCATTGTAGTTGCATGGGAATACCATTTGAAAATAGAAAATAGTGTATTCTTTAATTTTACGTAAGTTTTGAATAACTACAAGTGGTAGAAAATTGTTTTTCTGCGTTTTTATTAACATGCGTTAGGAGCGCTTTAAAATGGTATGAAATTCATAACCAGCGTCAGCAAGCATCAATCATAGGAGGCTGTGATCATTGTATTTTGACAGTTCAAAACATTAAATAACTTGCGTTTTGTTGCGATAAAGAATATTGCACAGCAAGTAAAACCAACAAAATTACCTATTTGTTTAAAAATGAATCGATTTGAAAATCATACGCTATGCAAAATATGCGTGAAATTGTCTGATGTAATGATCAATCTTCGCACCATGACTTACTTACTCGGATTAATAGAGGATTGTGGCTCCAACTTGAAAAACGAAAATTTGTTCCGAATTGTCCACGAATATTTGCACCTAAACTACGCAAAATTCAAAGTGCTGAATGGGAAAAAGGTGAATAAATTAGTGTCTAAATATTATATATATTTTATTAGACATAGACACATAATTCAAAGCATCCAAAGTCCTGCATTTTCGCCATTAAAAAGAAAAGAAGTGGCCGAAGAATATAGAAAACACCTTAGCATTGTAACTAAAATGTATCAAAACTAAACCTATTATGTGAACAAATAAAAACCAGTCTGTCAAAAATGGTCTGTTATTGTAAACGTCAAAAAATTTCCAGTATAATTCGCTGTTGGGTACCCTACGAGAAAAAATTTCCACTAAAATACCTCCGTTGCCATGGTGATCTGTCAAAAACACGTATTTTGATTGGTTCAAAATTACAGGTGTGGAATTTTCATCTAAATCGGTGTAGTCCGAAAGAATTCTGAGATAATCAAACACTGGACTAATTGACAATCTTTAAATGACGTCTGTTTATGAAACTCTACTTTTATTCTATTTAATTTATTATTTTTTACAGATTAAGTGAGGCTAATCGTCTGCGAAATAATGGTAAATTTCCAAAAGACTTTATTTTTGGAGCATCAACAGCTTCATACCAAATAGAAGGAGCTTGGAGAGAAGACGGAAAAGGCTTGAGTGTCTGGGATGAATTCGTTCACAGAGTACCTTCCACAATCGCAAATAATGATACTGGTGACATAGCTGCCGACTCTTACCATAGATATAAAGAAGATATTAAATTACTAGCTAATCTTGGTGTTCAATTTTACCGATTTTCTATCTCTTGGCCAAGGTAATGATAAAAAAGCATGCAAAATGAGACACGATTTACTATTCGAATCTACAGGGTGTAACAAAAAGATACAGTAAATTTAACTATCGAAAATATGACAAGTAAGACTAACTTGCTTACATAAAAAACGAATAGTAAAAAACTTACAGTGTGTTGAAATAGAAATTTGAGAGTTTATTTTTCGCTCCTACTCTAAAACAGCTTAACATAATTTTATGTACATGTACATGGGATCAGAGCAAACCTCTTAAAAAAGTGTTTCAATCACCAAGATTTTCCTGTCTCGAAAATGTCACAGTTGGAATTGATAAATTCTTTGACTTTTCTAAGTTCTTCGGCTGTGGTCATAATTATTAACTAGTTGTTTTACAAAGCTGGCGTCAACTGAGTTACTTGTGGTGGCTTTCCCAGTGTAACGGTCTTCGCACTTGGTTATGTTTTCCACCTGTGTACAGAGCCCTATTTCTTGTCCTTTCTTTAGTTTGAATGGTCTCCTTGATGAATTGGCAAACCTTACTGAAATTAGTTTATCAACGTTAACAAGACATTTAGCTACCAGAATTCCGTCACTCACAAATTCTTCACTTTCCACAATGCCCACATGTAAACCGTGTGATTTCTCGCTAAGTTTTGCCGAGACGACAGCTTCAGAATTTTGGGGTACTTCTACTTCTTCTTCTACTAGGACCTCTATCTGTTGAATCTTTTCTTCCGAATTTAGGACAATTTTCTCGTTTCCAATCACCAAGATCTTGTTTTGAAGGTCGATGATAAACTTATTTTGCCTAATATCCATACCAAGGACACACTGATCCTTAATATCGGCCACCAGAAATAAGTGTTGGATCAGGGTATTACAAATCTGTACGGTTGCTGATATCTCGCCTAGAACAGGAGTAGAGGAGTAGTGTGCCCTGTTGCTGTTTCTAGAACTAAGCTTCTTCGAGTTGGTTGTGGTTTTCGATGCAGGTTCCCTGTTTAAATTAAAGACTTAGTTGCACCAGATTTTGTTCGTTTTTATTTATGGTATAAGTGCGAATTTTGGGTCCCTCTGTTACAGCCGACGCCTGCCCCATAGTGTCGAACTTTATTCGTTTCCCTGACTATTGTTTGAAATCCGGCTAGGTGTGGATGACCGGCTTCTCCGAGAGGCATATCTGCTGTAATTATTTCTTGAGGGACTTCGTGACGGGCTTCGGGAGGTTAATCTAGGGGAATTTCTGGTATCATTCCTCGATTCCCGATTTATAGAACGAGCCCGGCTTCGACAAGTTCTTTGAAGGTGTCCAATTCTTCCACAATTAAAGCATCTTCTGCTTTCGTTTTGGCTATTTCGTTGCATACTTTGCAGGATATTTAAAATTTGTAAGAGGGTAGGTTGAGGGATAGTATTGGTAGTGACCTCTTCACTTTCTTGAAATCGAATTTCTCTCAATTTGCGCGAGAAGATCTAGATATACTTTTTGCTGCTTCATATTCCTGGGCTGCAATAAGTGTCTCACTCAACGTCTTGTGGTGTTGTAACCGAAGAGCCTGCTGCATTTCCACGTCCTGTAGTCCATCAATGAATGCTTGTATGTCGATTTGTTCTAAGAAATCTTTAGGTGCCTGTGGATAGGCCAGATAAAGCAATTTTTTAATATCGGCTTCGAATTCTTGTAGATTCTCATTTTGTTTCTGACAACGAACTTTTAGCTGGCTTTGGAATACCTGTTTCAAATGCTGCTGGCCATATCTTGTCTCTGAACCTTGGACGAAAGATGAATAACTGGGTTCCTCTTGAGGAAGTAATTGTAAAACGGTTGCAGCCTGACCTCGCAGTGACACTATCAATGAAGCCGCCATCTCTTTCTCGGTCCAGCCATTGGCTCCAGCTGCAGCTTCAAATTGGAGTCAAACGTGGGTTGCTTGAGGGTCTTGCTAGTATAGTTTTGTAAAACTGGTTCGGTTATGGATGCAGACGAGGTAGCGTTTTTAGGTTCAATGTTGCTTACCGTAGCTTGACTACGAATTCTTCTTTCTAACTCTACAATTTCAGCTCTAATTTGCCTTTCTAAATTGGTTTTTAAATGCTGGTGCCGCTGTTCTAAATGAGTTAGATGCTCCTATTGTTGCTCCAAATTAGTTTTTAACTTCTCTTGCTGTTGTTTTACATTAGTTTTTAAAATATCTGGTTGTTGTTCTAAATTCGTTTTAAGGTTCTGTAAATTGGTTTTTAGATTCTCTTGCTGCAGTTGTTAATAGGCTTTTAAATTATCTTGTTGTTGCGTTAAGAGGTCTACTCGGCTGTTTAGCTGACCTAACTCTTGCTTAAAGTTTTCTTGAATTAGCAGCAAACCATTCATAATTTCTACCTCAACTTCCCTACGCCTTTCTTTTTCCTCCTCCTCTTCCTTCCTACGCCTTTCCTTTTCCTCCTTCCTACGCCTATCTTTTTCCTCCTCTTCTTCCTTCCTACGCCTTTCCTTTTCCTCTTCTCGCCTTTCCTTTTCCTCCTCTTGCCTCTTTCTCTCCTCTTCCATCTTTAAAAAACCATGCTGGTGGGCCTGAAGTATCCATATCTGCTTCGTGCATCGTGGATCTTGTATTTACCATGAATATAATGCTTGAGTAACTTTTATTTTAGATCCCACCGCTGTCACCAATGTTACGCAGGTTTTTGGTATCACAATTTATTTCAATTCAACTTTTACAATAACTCGATTCAACTTTTACAATAATTATATAACTGATACCATTAACGTATAACGTCTATCATCAAACTGAAAACTGATATCAGGATCATCCTTATGTAGCTTGACCCTTCTCGAACCTTCTCAAACTGTCGTCTAAAATATTCTTGACGGGTAATGACATTTCTGAAATATTATATCTTCTTCTACTTGTACTTTTACTTATGACGACCGCAGCACACTGTAGGGCGATGAGTAACATTCCACTTCTTTTTCTATCTGTACGTTTCCTATAATAGCCGCAGGCTACTGCAGGGTGCTGCGTAACACAATCAATAAGAGTATAGTGTTCAAAAAGAAATTTTGTCATTAACACTTTATTCACAAAATTTCGCAGTGGGATCTCCGACTATAAAAAATTTGAATATAAATGGAAAACAACAAAACAAATACAAAAACACTAATAATTCATGAGCAAGCTCTTAAAATCTAGTTGTGCTTGAAAGTCCTCTGGTACTCGGAACCTTTTAAGTGCTTGCAAGCTACTTCGAGTGCTTTAAATGGCTTGTAATGCGAAATTCAATTACCAATTACCAAGCACTTTTTATAAAGGGGTTCAATTATCAATTATCGAACACTGTGCTTGAAACACATCTGCTCCAATTACATTTCCTTTTATTTATTCGAGATGTAGTTCAGTCAAGATTACATTGAGAGGCATTAATTAAATGAAGCGTACGCTCAGACTTCAAGTATTCAAATTAGATCCAACTGGTATTAATAAATAAGGCGGCGCATTTGCTCAAACTTGGTTGACTCTAGTTGTAAGCATTTGCTCCAGTCTGTATTAGTAAATATAAATATTTTCATGAAGACTAGAGCATCTGGTCGATTTGGTTTAATTTTAGTCAATAGCAAACTGAATTTTTAAACAATTTACGCGGTCGTAAAGTGTTCAGTGCGTAGATACGTGAACTGGAAGAAGAAAATTTTAAATAAATAAATGAATACTTTTTGGGTCACTCAGAGCAGCTCTAACGGTACTGCATTTTTTTTTTTTTTTTTTGAAATGTGGCGTATCTTGGTTTTCAGACAGATGTTGCTACAGATATAGGAAAATCGTCAACCAACCATGTCAAATGTGATAGCAGAAATATTTATTAATGTGGATAGTACTTGGCTGTGCTCAGTTCATGATACTTGTATTTGGACTAATTCAGATATCCAGCCAGTTATTAGGAGAAATTAAGTTCATGCAGTGCTCCTAGGCAATGCAGGATTTGTTGTTAACTCCATGGCTAATGACAATTTTCAGAACACCTGGTAATTTAGTGGAACAAGCATTCAACAACATGATTACCAGAGAAAGGGTCATCATCGAGAGGTGTTTTGGACAAGTAAAACAGAGGTTCCCTATTTTAAAACACACAATTATTAGACGTGCGACTGAAAAGTTACCACAGATCATAGCGTGTTGCTTCATATAACATAATGTTTCTAAATACTTAAAAGTTTGCGAGTTGTCACCGGATGAAAATGGTGAATACACTTTTAAAGAGACGCAGCTTGAGTTCTATCAGATGAATCAACAATAATGGTATAATATATAATAATACGACACACATTTGAGCGTATGCTCAAGATACTTGAGATTAAGCAAGATATTAGATTAAATGCTTAACTAGTATTCATTTGTACCAATATGAGTAAAGGCTCAGATACTGGTCTCACACTCCGAGCCTTCGCTCTGTGCTCAGACTCATGTGTTATTATTACCACCCATTATTTACATCTATTCAGAATTTGAAATAAGATGTTCATAGTGAGAATTGTCAAAGTTATTGCGGTTATTTTCAGTGGGGGATAGTGCATAAATATTTCTGTCTCATTCTTCCTTCATACTTTCTACTACAAGTATATTAAATTCAAGAATAGATACCCTGATGTGACTCAATGCGACGCGGTAACATTTTCGTGACGAGTCCTATGCATACCGTCAAAAGTGATTGTTTCTTTTAGTTTTTTCATTTTCACTATTTTCGACACTAGTAGATATTATTCGAATTCGCAGAATAATATCGAGGGCGTCATAGCAGAAGGGCGTATAAACCAACAGATACCTTCTTCAGGAGACGCAAAACACGTTTTAAAAATCAGAATTTGTAATGAAATTGTTTTCTTTTCCATTATAGTAAGATGAGATTACAATTTTTTTAAAAAATTTGCATCTAGTATCATTCCAGTATGTAGGTGTCCTAAGAACGTCAATGCAAACTAATAACTAAATATGTTTTTAAATGAGAACCTGTGAACGGCTTGCGCCAATCTTGGACGCAGTCGAACCTTCTCTTATTTAAAATACATTACCCTAAGTCACGAACCGTGACCCTATGCTACCTATACCGAAGTTTAACTGTGGCCTAAACTATAATACATTAGATCTACCTTGTGTTTATACCGGGTGAGAATCAATTAGTTTTATCATGTCGTCATTTTTTGTTGGTAATAAACTGGAATTCCATTTAGAGCATGAATGGGCTTCTCCCCCTAACTGCATGGTTTCACTTCATAAAGCGAAATGCTCGTTGTAGATTATAGACCTGTAGTCCATGGAAGTCAATCAATTAAAAATAACAACAAACATATTTCAGACTTTTTCCAAACGGTTACGTCAGCAAAATTAACGAAAAGGGTTTGAAATGCCTTGTGTTTATACCGGGTAAGAATCAGTTTTATAATGTCGTCATTTGTTGTTGGTAATAAACTGGAATTCAAATTAGAGCATGAATGTGCTTCTCCCCCTAAACTGCATGGTTTCACTTCATGATGCGAAATGCTCGTTGTAGATTATAGACCTGTAGTCCATGGACGTCAATCAATTAAAAATAACAACAAAAATATTTCAGACTTTTTCCAAATGGTTACGTCGGAAAAATTAACGAAAAGGGATTGAAATACTACCACAACTTAATACAAGAATGTCTAAGTCGCGGATTGACCCCCGTAGTGACTCTCTTTCATTGGGATCTTCCTTTGAAATTATTCGAAGATGGTTTAGATTGGACAAATCCATGCCTTATAGACCATTTTGTCGAATACTCTAGAGCTGTCATCAAAAACTTTCCCCAGGTTGGTATGTGGATAACCATTAACGAACCAAGAGTATATTGTCGGTTTTCATATGGTGAAGGTATTTTTGCTCCTGGAATTAAAAAAAGTGGAATATTGGACTACCAGTGTGCTTATAATATAATTAAAGCTCATGCTGCAGTTTATCGCATGTACAAAAAGGAATTTCCACATTATAAAGGTAAGCTATAACTTCTCTTGCAAACATCTTTGGACCTGAATTTATTTAATTTAGCTTTATAACGAAACTGATTATTTAACATTTTGGTTTTCAGCACCACTCTCAATTGCAATGGACTGTCAATGGTATGAGCCTGAAACCAACCAACCTGAAGATGTAGCAGCAGCAGAAAGACATCGGCAATTTGAGGTTAGTTGATCTCCTTCTACCCATTAACTATGTCAATGTTTCTGATATATCTTGTTTTATTTAGTACACTGCTCAACAGATAAAAACCAATTATGTTACAGAGAGAGAGACGAACATAAATTAGAAGAAATACTACTTATAAGAACACAATTGTTTTTTGAAAATATCACCCAACAAGTTATAAAAGTAATTTTAAAAAAAACGACTTTAAACTCGTGCAAATGTCCTTAAATGATGAGATAGAGATAGATAATCAGATCCTGAACAATTGTATATGGAACTATCCCTAAAATATCCGCTTTCTAACAAAAAAAAAAGAATGATGGAAATTATCCATAAAAAAAATGCTCTCTTAGAAATAAAAAATAGCCCCACTCTTTTAAATATATCGTATTTTCATCTGCAAAAAAAATATAACATGAATTAAATAAATTTCCGTTACAAAAAACGTGACAGAGAAAGACAAAATCATTGCGTAGAGACATGATTATTTAGGGAAAAACTAAAAAACAAACCTTTATAGAAGAGGTCTCTTGTGGATTAAAAAATCCAACGGGAAAAACAAATCGTCTAAAAACCACGTTGTCCGATTTCTATGATTCTTTTTTTTTTTTTTGTTAGAAAGAAGATACATTTGGACAAGATCTGATGATCTATGTTGAAATCAAAAATCTCAATATTTAAGAGCATCTGCACTATTTTTAAGTCTGTTTTTTAAAACCAATGATAACTGCTAATTATTTGAAAAATTGGAACACTGTTAAAAATGTTTGTATTGATTTGTATGAAGCTCAATGCAATCTAGCCCTTCATGTAAAATATCCTACAAGAATTAAACTTGCTGCATTTTACGGCATATGTGTAGCTTCATTATAGCAAAGCACTATAACAGTTTGCCCATGGAAAAATCTTATAGCTGATAAATGTTGTCCACAAGATATGACCCGAGAATACCGATCAAGGAGAAGCGACAGCTTGATATTTTCGGTGTACCGTTTTGATACTCGCATGTGCGAAAATAAGTTGTGTATCACTCAAAATCATGTTATCTGTCAAAGTCAGTTCAAGTTGTGTTTAGTCTGTGAGCTGTTAAGTGATATTTTTTGGTGTTTCTTTGTGTTGTAATAGAATCAAAAAATCAAAATCATTTATTCACCATAAAAGTACATTCGTTCACATAATAAATACCACTTATCAGGCTAGTCAATTAAAAACATTATAGTTAATTAAAATTAAAATTTAAAAGCATTACATAGTAATTATTATACTTATACATATAACTTAATTTTACTTACACCGACAGTTACTAATTTAAAAGAACGAACATAAAATTTAAAAATTAGAAAGACCAGGATAAGGATTATGATAGCTCTTCATTGTGTGGTTCAAAAATTGAGAAATTCTTCAATATTATAAAATGTGTTATTGTGAAGGAAGTTAATAATTTTATTCTTTATGCCGTTCCTTGGGCCGACTAAATCAATATGTATTTTAATTTTATTGTAACACTTAACCCCTATATAATTGGGAGAATTCTGGCTCACTCTCAGTCTTGAGAAGGGTACATGGATCTCTTCGTTATGGCGGGTGTTGTATGTGTGAATTTCATTGTTTAATATGAATTGGTTCTTATTATCATAGATATGCAGTATTAATTGTAAGATATATAAAGAATGCACTGTTAGAATCTCATATTTTTTAAATAGATTTCGGCAACTTGCTAATGGATGAGCTCTATCCATACATCTAACAATTTTTTTCTGTGTGATGAACGCTTTATCTATGTGTGAGGAAGAACCCCATATCAACAAGCCATACTGCAACTGAGATTGCACTAGTCCAAAATATAATAATCGCAATATATTTGAGGAGACTTTATCCCTAAGATTTCTCAAAATGAAGCAAGTACTACTCAGCTTTGAGCATAGCTTATCGATATGAAGTTCCCATGTTAGTTTAGGATCGAGAGTTACACCTAGAATTTCATTGATAGAGTACTTTCTATTGATTTTCCAGAGAGTTTAATTAATAAGTCTTCATCAGGAGCAATATTTTTAGGTAAAAATCTCATATATAAGGTTTTCTCACAATTTAATTGGAGACCGTTTTCCTTACAGTATTTTTCAAATTCCAATGTGACGTTACTTCCATTTTCTACTAGGTTATTGACACTTTTCTCAGACAGTATCACATTGGCATCATCCGCATAAAAAACAGCTTTATCTGATGTTTCACAGATACTTGAAATGTCGTTTATAAAAACTATAAAAAATATTGGGCCAAGTAATGTGCCTTGTGGGATGCCTACTTCATTTCTTTTGCATTCGGAGGTAGCCCCATCGATAGCTGTTGTTTGATACCGATCCGCCAAATATGAGACTATCCAGTCATGTGGTTTTCCTCTTACACCTATACCTTCAAGTTTTTTTAATAGTAAGTCATGGTCTATTGAATCAAATGCACGAGTAAGGTCATAAAAAATACCTATAATATGTTGTTTCCGGTTAAGTTCTTCATATATATAGTTTATACATTCTAAGATTGCTGTGTTAGTTGATTTGTTAGCTCTAAACCCATGCTGGCTGTCTGAGATTATCTTAAAGTGTTCGAGGTATTTTACTAGTCTAGTGGAAAAAGCTGCCTCAAAAATTTTAGCTATTTGACTCTGTATACATATAGGGCGGTAATTTTTAGGGTCTGTACAGGAGCCTTTCTTTTTATAGATTGGGATGCATTTAGACTCTTTAAGATCCGGAAAAGTTCCGGTAGTGAATGATAAGTTAATTAGGTATGTAAGCGGTATACATGTGTTCAGCGACCACAGCCAGAATTTTACCATTTATATTGTCTGAACCAGCGGAGGGTTTAGTAGTAGTTTTTTTCAGTAAAGTTATTACTTCTTCTGGGACTACTGGTGTGAGAAAGAACCCGTTAGGAAAATTTACCGTTTGAATACTAGCATTGCCTTCTGGTCTGGGACAGGTGTCAGCTAGTCCCACAAAATAGTTATTTATTGCATTACTTTTTTCTAGAGGATTTGTAATTTTGTTTCCATTGATTTCTAGTTCTGGTATACAGGAACTACCGTACCTGTTTCATTTTTGATTATTTCCCAGCTATCTTTCATAACATTTACAGAATTTTTTATTATTTCGTTATTTTTATTCTTTTGGTAATATTTAACAGTGTTTTTGTAGGTTGTTTTAAATTCGTTGTACCTAGAAGTATAGAATGGATTGTTTAATCGTTTTTCAATTTTCCTCATTTCACATAATTGGTCATGCATACTTTTTATTCTAGGGTCATACCATTTTTTCTTTTTACTTTTTGTTTAGTTTTTTTCATGGGAAAAGAGCAATAGTAATGAGAGATAAATGTATCATAAAAAAATTTTAATTTGTCATGGAAAATTGATGCAGATTCATACAATCCTTTCCACTCTTCATTTCTTATTAGTTGGTAGAATGTTTGAGTATTTCTGTCACTATAGTTTCTTTTATATGTAAATTTATGATTGTGTTCTCCGATTTGGTACCCTTCAAATTCTACCACCTGATAAGTATGGTCAGATAGAAAAGAGTCACATACTCTAATATTATTTATCCTATCATTTGAAAATATATTGTCAATACAGGTTTGGCTAGTTTTTGTTACTCTTGTATGTTCATTAATGTGGTGTTTGATATTGTATTCTAAAAATAAATTAATCAATTCATTCCTGGTTCTGCTCCCTATTAAAAAGTCTATGTTAATATCCCCACATAGGATACATTACAACATTTGCGCATGGACTATAACAATGATTTCAGATAATTTGCCAAACTATTTCGCTCAGTGTAGAAAATAAGCATGTTTTCTCAGCGTATTAAGTTGTGTATTAATCAAAGTCATGCTTTGAAAAAGGTCCATACGATATCAAAGGCACCGACAGCTACTGTCGCTTCTTCTTGATCGGTATTCTCGGATATGACACTGACTTATTTGAACAATTTTAATAGCAAGACTATTATAGATGTTATGTGTTGGATTATATACAATTGATGCATGCTGCAGTCTAGATCTAACAAAACAAATATATAACTTCATTGTATGTATATTAGGTATTAAATTATATCTAAATAAATTTCCTAGCTGCAGTAAGTTTTGTACCATCTTGCTTATGATTATAATTATTTTTGGAACCTCTATTACTATATTCTTAAGTCTCGTTAACAAAAAAAAGGCTGTAAAATGATAGTCTCATCATTGTGTGACTAAAATATGCATTTTTAATGAACAGAGGCTATTTGAATTAGGAGCTGTTAATTTTGAACACATTTTGTTGTGTCAAGTGAAATTTTAAGTCTATGTAAACTACAAGATATACTTGGGGGTTAAATAGCGAAAAAGTTTCATATTTTGAAGGATAATATAATTGTCTATAAAAATTTTAGATATTCCGACTATTTCCACCACTTTCTTACCAACAACATAACAAAACTTTTGGATTTTTCAAATTTTTAATGGTATAAGGTATTTTAGAATTGTACTCTTTTAAAATCGCGACCATTACATATCAGACTAATTGACTTGTCTTTATAAATAACAAATAAATGTTATTGGATCCATTTCTCCTGGTAGGTACACTTCGTGTTTTTCAAGCTGTGTAAAATTGATCTTTTAAAATTAGTCCATGTTAAACTACTTTAAAGGTTATAATTTCTATGACAACGTTGCCAGCACAATGAAAATATTAATAAATGTAAGCATACAAACAAATTTTGTAAAGTAATAAAATGCAATGAACAAATTAAACATTTTGTGCAACATTAATGCAAAAAAAGTAACTTAAATTTAAAATGAGTGTGTGAAATTTAAATACCTACACATCACAATAATTGAAAACAGATGAAATAAATAATTAATACCTTGTCATAGCTCCATTATTATTAATAATTTTTTGTATGATTCTAGGCCCTCAGTTAATTAAATTTATTGATAAATTTTCATCTTCTGCCAAGCTTTCCCAGGTTTCTTCAATAAGGTTCGATAAATGTCCTTTGTTTTGGGGAGTTACATTTAATTTTTCTAATTTTTTTTTTATCGTATGTCCCCAAACGTATAATAATTAATCCAACTTAATATTTCCGGCACGCGATTCCGTAGAATTAAGTTACGTCGTGTAGATATACTCTTTATTAGATATTATTTTTTGGGTAAATGTAACTTCTACAGGAAATTTGTGGACTAAAGATAAAATAAATACAATTTTAATAAATATAAATATTATTAAATAAAAGTACAAAATGTTTTCTGATTTTAGTACGGCATGTATTTCCATCCGATATTCGTTGGAGACTGGCCACCAATAGTTAAGGCTAGAATAGCTGAAAGAAGTAAAAAGGAAGGTTATAAGAAAAGTCGTCTTCCACAATTCACTCCAGAAGAAATAAAGTTTGTAAAAGGGACCCACGATTACTTGGCAATAAACCACTATTCTACTTTCTTGGCAGGCGAAGAACCAGAAGCACCATATAATGAAACTCATTACGAAAATGATATACGCGTGATAAATTCCAGAAGGCAGCATTGGAGGTTGGGAGCCGATAATCGGAATGTAAGTTAATATTTTAATGATTCCCAAGAATATAAGTGCGTCGTCACCAATAAGCGGTAAAACATACTAGTCGCTCATCTGAGTGCAGCTAGAGGCATGTCGTGTGACTGAAAATAGTGGCATGTCGTGTTTTTGCTTGCTATTTGTAGTTGAGTAGATGGGAGGAGGTGAAGAACATGTACTATGTCCCGGTGGTGAGAGCTGTCGGGTAACCTGTCAAATTCAAAGTAAAGTTGCTTATCGATGGATTTTTGTTTTGTTTTTTGCTGTCAATAACAATAAAAACTCCATTTGTAAGCATTTTCTGTCGTCCGGTTTTGCTACTTCCGGTCTAGGAATTTCGGCTACGTGACCGGATATTTGTGTTTTTCAACAAAACTAAGGATAGAGCTTAAACACGTTTTTCTGAATTAACGATGCATTTCTTACGATTTTATTTTAAAAAACTTGTACATGTTAGATATTACTCTGGCTGGTACATCCATAAATCAAGACTGATTTTGGGATTTGTTTATAATTCAGCAGTTTGTTATAAACTGACAACTTTTCTCATAGGAACCAATACATTTTTTTTTTTTAATTTAAGTTCAAGATCTTTACGCTTATTTATGTACTCTTTTTATTTAAGTCGTACATCTGGGTTCATCCCTAGGTATCTGGCCCAAATTTGTTTCGGTTCATTTTGTCGACGAGTAAATTCAACATGCACTGTTTTAGTTTAATTTATTTTTATTTTCCCCTTTTTGTCCATCGATTGATTGTGTTGCAGGTTTCCTGGAGTTTTTCTGAGGTCTCTGCATTCGTTCGGCCAACTGCCAATATTGCAGTGTCATCCGCAAATGTTGCTATTTTAACATAGTGTTGTTGAGAGATATTATAGGTGTATAAAAAGTAAGGGACTGGTCCTAGTATACTGCCCTGTTGGACACCTTATTTAATTTCGGAGTATCCCTCCTCTTGCTTCACTTTAAACATTCTTCCTGTTTGATAATATAATTGAGAAATGTCGATATATTGTCTAGGGAACATTTTTTCAAGTTTCTGTATCAGGCCAACGTGTCAAACCTTGTCAAATGCTTGGGCTACGTAAAGGAAGAAATATAGCTAAGCATATACATTTTTCTTAGTAAGCCTTTTGGATCAGCTATCCTGTCTACTTGATCTATTGTCGAGTGTTTGTTTCTAAAACCAAATTGGTGCGAAGGACTCAGATTTTATTTTACATTATTGATTTTAGTCGTTTTAGTAGTAGCTTTTTAAATAGCTTATATTTTATTCGTAATAAGTAATAGGTATATATGATGACACTTCATTTGGAGGTTTTTCTGGCTTAGGAATTAGAATAACTTCAGCCATTTATAACCTAGAGCTTTTTGTGGGTTGTTGTTTGTCTGATTTTTTTTCGCAACTTCATTGGAAGTAACTAGCCTAATTTCAAGCTGTTCCTCGTTAGGAATGATTCTTTTTTGGTGATTTAGAATTTCTCTTCTCAATCTTTGGATAACCCTATTTAATACGTTCTTCTGTTGTTCTTGTCATCTGCTATTTATTTCTTAGTTTTCTTTTTTCTGTTACCAGTTATCTTACCTCGACAAGGCAGTTTTTTCCAGTTGTTAATCTTCTTACTTTTGGTGTGTTTCTCTATGCAGCTTGCTCTATTTCCACTATACACTTTTCCAGTTCTTTATCTAGCTGGTTTTTCGTTTTTAGTGCTATGGTTAGTTGAATAGTATTTGTGTTAAGTCCTCGGGAAGGTGACGTAGGTGTCTACGGTGCTCGCATTCATTTACCAGCCAATTTTGTGGGCCTCGAATCCTACAGAAGACCATGTGAATTTATTTGTATGGTTTCCTATAGGATGTAATGGATGCCGTATTAATAGAAATTTAATTTATGTTGATATGACAGTCAGATTATAAAAATCGCCATGCATTACCGTTTTGATGATTGTGGGTGGGGTTTTCCGGGTTTTCCTCATCTGTAAGTCAAAAGGTGCCATCATTATTCACTCGGAATTAGGAAGAGTAATAATATTATTATTATCTTCACAACCTTTCCAATTGGTTTTCAGATTTGTTAAGGTCGGCATTTCTTCTTTATAATATTATCACTTAGAGTAAGAATTACTGCAGAATGGTCTGAATCCATATCAAATTTTTTTTTCTACTTGTGTATAGTTTGGTGAAATTTTTCTCAGAATAAAGAGATCAAAAAGATCTGGAATCTTAGTTTGATCGGTAGGTCAATAGTTGGGTTTTTTAGAAGATTGGTATGTACATCCAAGTTCTGTTGTAGCTCGGAATAATTCTTTTTCTTTGGCTGTGGTTAATCTTGAACCCCAGATGGTATTTTTGGAGTTGTAATCTCTACCAATTATAAATTTATTACCTAGTTTTTGAAATTTTGAAATACATAAATATAATTTTCTTTTTTCTGTTTGTGTCTTGGTGGGCAGTAGATTTCAGCTATTGGAATTTTGCCCCCCTTAGAGTTAGAAGTGCTAATGGTTACCTGATTTTCTGGATTTTGAAAGCCTGGTTCATAATGGTGGAAAATAGTTTTTTAATCATTAACGCACTTCCGCCTGTTGCTGCATTTGATGGATGGATAATTTGATAGAAGTTATATCCTTAGAATTTAATCATGTCTTATATGGCGTGGGGTGGCTTGACATGGCATGGCTTGACATGGCTTGACATGCCGTGACATGGCGTGTCATGGCGTGACATGCGTAGAATGTAGTCAGAGTCATAATTAATCATCTGACCAGAGAAGAGTCTGTTTTTGTGAATTGGAATCTTTAAAAGAAGTAAAACAAATGTTAATTCTAAAAAGGCACAAACACTAAATTTTTTAATCAAATTGCTCTAGTATTTTTAGTATACATATGAACTTACAAATAAAAACTGAATATACAGGGTGTAACAAAAAGATGTACAGTAAATTTAACCAGTTTCTGGAGTCGAAAATAAGTCGATTTAGGTTAACTTGAGTATATAAAAAATTGATAGTAAAAAGTTACAGTGTTAAAGTTGAAAATTTAGAAGTGATTTCTGTGCTCGTACTCTAAAATACCTTAACATACGTGTATGTAAATTTACATAGGATGTTAGTATACTGCAGTAACCAACAAATAGACAACGACTCTGTATATACGCTCCTGGGGCTTTAGCTACATCTATCGTGCTGTATTTACCTACATTTCTATAGTTATGTAGGTTTTCCATTACGTCCTCGGGAAAATACCTTCTGTTCACACACTATATAACTTGTTTATTGAAAAACAGTAAAGAGCAACAGGTTCAAATACAGGAATGCCTTAATTAACAAATGTGGATTAACAACTATGTAATAAAATGTAGGTTTTGTAGGCTTTTCGTCTTCGTCGTATACGTCATTAGCACTCACTCGTGATTAGCGTCGTTCTGATTCAAAGTCTGAATATTAAATAATAATAATTAGGTATATCTGTCGTGTCAACGTTTTTTGGATCTATTGATTCAGTAATTCGCAGGGAATAGTATAACTTAACGGCAAGTCGTTTCGTCGTAACTTTAAAAGTTTAACGCGGAATCATGGGCGCGTATTTGGTATAGGAATAGGGGATAACTAAATAATATATCTACAGTTATTTACCTTTGTTTTTAATTCTGTGTTCTTTAGGTTGTTCCATGGGGAGTTAGAAAGGTATTAAATTGGCTCAAGCAGAATTATGGAGATCAAGGCATCTTCTTTACAGAAATAGGATTAGCAGATGATGGATCTACTTTACAAGATGTTGCCAGAATAGATTACTATTCAGTAAGTAACGGTGTCGTTGATATTACATATTTTTTAAATTTAATTTTACCTATACAATCTAGGTATATCTATAACCTTAAACCATTTGTTCGTGTAAATATTGTATGTGACTTGACAGTGTACCTGATTAGCAATCCACGGTATAACTGATATTTTTTTAAAAGTGTTTTGATACATTCAGAATCACAAAAAATAATATGTAACTTTAATTACCTATTTAGTGTTTAAACAAATCCCGATGTCTTCTGCTACCTTTATTACTTTAACATGCAACCACTTCTGTAAAACTCATATTTTTCATCCGATTTCAACAATTCTTTTTTTATCATGTAGAACTTCAAAAAGTATACCTTTGTCCAAATTTGCTTCACCAACATTCATTTTTAAGGTATCCGTGTCAAAAAGTACTAAAGTTTATTAGGAAAGAATTTTGATTTTACTGGTAGATTTACAAACCATCTAAATGAAAAACCCAAAATTTCAATAAAAATATTTATAATTAACAAAGTTATTGAATTAATTTATGGAAATTAACAATTTAAGTACCTATATATGTTACGTGTATTTTAGATAAATTCTGAAAACCAGCAACTGTCAATAAAAAGTTTTGTTGTGAAAAGTAGATAGGCCCTTGTTTAATAAGCATAAGCTAATGTTTAATTTGAAAAATATGGATGATCAATCTATGTAACTATCTATTTCATTGACCTTGTCAAATCACCAGGCCTACATGGTTGCCATAATTTTGCCATATTATAACCTGTCAAAACCTACTGATAGCCATTTTGTTTGGAATGCCTAATTAAAAAATTTAAAAACAAACTAACTTAAAACTAGTGTGAGTGATTAATATAGAAAATATTTATTTATAAATTTCCTTAAATCTTATTTGGCCTTTTCTTAAGGTTTCCCTTATAGTTAGCTTCTTTTCACCTTCATTTGTTGTGTTTTGTTCCAACGAGGCCGATGTGTTCAACGCGTGAACGCAGCTATTTTTGTTTTCTCGGATTCTCTTAAAAATGTGCATAAACATCCATTTTGTGAGAGGAAACAATAATTTCAGCTTTCAACTTCTCTCAGTTGCATTACAAGCCAGAATTATTTAAGTGACGCATATGTAATATGCGCTTTTGTAACATTTCTGTGATGGTGTATCTGACTTTCTTAGAGCTATGATTTCATGTTTTATATTGTTGTTTCAGGCTATTTCCAAAATATTCCAGATACATGTTTTATTACTTTAGTTTTTATGTGCTGTGTAGTTTCATTAATTCTAGGATAATTCTAAAGATTAAAGTCTTGATTTATCAAGACCAAATCATCTACACTTGGCAATTATGTAAAAAAAAAATTGATTTTTTACCGCAAACAAATTTTTGTTTCTGAATTTTCAAATTGCTCAAGCCGTATAAGTACATTACGCTCTGTTCCCAACTTTTTTTTTCAATTCCTCGCCATTTTCAAGAAGCCCCTTTAAAAACAGAAACTAAAATCGACTTTACAGACTTTATTATTTACTTGCATTTTGGCTTCTGTTTTGGAGTTGACATCATCTCGAATTTGCACCACATAAATTTGCATTTAATAAAGCCATTTTCTTGAATACATCATTTAACAACGCGTCTAAAAGAAAGGGATTATTTGAATGTAAATCGAAAATATAAAGATTACAACATAATTACAATGATTTGCTTTTTAATTTTTAGAATTTTAAATAATTTAATGTTAAATATACTTATTTATTAGCAGATAATGGGGTCTATTCTGTAACAATTCCTTTATATTTAACGGCTTTTAAAAATATTGGCGGCCTTTAAAAATATGTTCGTATTCGTTAATTTACTTCTGTCATTATTTAAACAGATTTCTTTAAGATAGTCCTCTAATGTATTTTAAAGATCCGTTTAAATAATGACAGAAGTAAAGAAGAAAATATTTTTAAAGGCCGTTAAATATAAAGGAATTGTTACAGAATAGACCCCATTAAACTCTAACGAAACGAACTCGTGTGCCATTATTAATCTCTTCTTTTCTTCTTCAAGTCTGGCTTAAATTGCCTTTTACTTTGTATCTTGTCAGTTTAGTAGCGAAGAAAAGAAATAATTTAGTTTAATTTAAGCTTAGGTTATAAATAATTAAATTATAATATAAAAATTATAATAATTTATTATGTCTATGTAATATTATAAATTATATTAATAATTATAAAACATAATTTATATCCTATTAGTAGACAAACACAGTTTTATGTTATCATTAATCTGCAAAATGTCTAGTAAAATAAGGTTTGTCATTTTTATAGTGTCCATCGTGGACATTTTTTGGACATCCATATGAAGTTTATGGAAATCCAAGACATTATTTGGACAAACTATGGACGTCCAATGGACGGCTTGTGCTGTCTGGGGAGTAACTGAAGTATTTGTTAAAAAGTGAATGTCATTTTTGAACAGTTATTTCAAATAAGTACAAGTAAAAAACGTAAAATTAGTTTTATTTTGTTTGTAGGATTACTTTTGTGAAATTTTAGAAGCCATGCAAATAGATCATGTTACAGTTAAAGGAATTGCAATGTGGAGTTTACTGGATAATTTTGAATGGCCATTAGGATATACGTAAGTATTGTATGGTTCTTTTCTAATTATTCAACCGTTTTCCTTACATTTAAACTCTAATACTCATATCTTATATTAAAGTCTTTTTCGCCGATTTTGGCGAGAACCTACAATAATAAGAGACACATTTTCACAATTTTAACTTTATCATAAATAAAAACTCTTTCTATGCTCGAACATATGTTATTACACCAGGAAACATAAGAACTTATGCTTAATCTTACCATACAACGAATCATGATGTAAATATCATGGTGTATTATTTCGCATCTAGAAAAAACCAGAGCCAGAAATAAGGGACATAAAAGATAGGAAACGCCCATAAGAAGCCCATGCTTAACAACGATCAGCTCTAACGCAGTTAACATCTGACCCACCATGTGGCGCTTTCATCGATATCAAACAACGCAACGGGAAATGAATTCATGACAAATATTTTTTAATTTTAGATCGTTATTTGTAACTTCAACATTATTGTTATTTTTCAAACGAATGGCCAACGGTGTCTTATTTAAGCTTAATAAAAGGAATTCAGATATTTTTCTTCTTATATTAAATCTTCTAACATTTTGAAGCTATTTTCTTGTTCTAAAGCAATGAATAATAAATAAATACTCACTTTTCAATAAAAGTTAGCTACTATTTGTATTTACATTGCTAGATCTTATTTTGGTAAATTAAAGAACGCCACATTGGGGTTGTTAAATTTTTTCACGTGGCATGTGTTTTTAGTGCAATACGTGCTCCGACTTATTGTAATATTACAAAATATAATTATTGTCCTTAAATTTCACACAAAAACAACCACAACCATTTCGCTTAATTTATCTAGAGGATAACACAATCATGAACTCAAAATTTAAAATTCAAATTCAGGATTTTACGATATACATACAACTAATTGACATTTATATTTACAAACTGTCAACTTTTGTACACGTCTACTGTCTGTCTACAAGTGGTCTACAAACGACGTGTACCTTTAGTTAACATATGAGACGCATAGATGACGCTATCGTTGCTGCGTTAGTTGCGTTTCCTAGCTTTATGTCCCTAATTTATGACCGAACCAATAGGAAAATTCTTCCATAAATAGGAGGATGCCATTAAACTGAAAAAGAATGACAACCAAACAAACAAATTTTTAAATATAAGTTTATGTTAGTTAAGACCACGTATGTGGCTAAGACCACAAAATTTAAAGTATGTGGGTTAAGACACTCCATAATGAAGACAGAGGCGTATGGAACAAGGGAGATAAAAACCCTCTCCCAAGCAGATTATGCGCTGTACAGGGACGGCTCCAAAACTGATAAAGGATTATGAGCGGAAGTTTTCGATCAGAAGCCAAGAGTTGACATATCAATAAATATGGGCACTATAACCACGATATTCACAGCAAAAATGATCGCTAGAGAATTGGGAGTGAGATACTTGATCGATTTTCTCTCTGCTAACAAGACTATAACGATAGTTTCAGATAGCCAGGCAACCCTCAAGGCCCTAAGCTTCAACGGAAATTACTAAAGGCTAGTTTGGAACTGTGTAAACACCCTTAAGCGACATGGTGTCTGGAACACAGTTACTTTGATTTGGGTTTCGGGCTGTGTGGGGGGCAATGAAGCCGACGTGCTCGCAAGAAAAAAAAACGAATTTGAGTTTATAGGACCAGAACCATTCCTGGGCATTGCAAACAGCATTGCCAAAGAAATTATCTCAAAATGGAAGGAGGGTGCAACACTCACGAACTGGAGAGATACGCCAGGGCTAACTCATTCGAAGACATTTACAACCAAATTATCCATTAACGCTTCTGCTCAGATCCGGAAATGAAGTAGCATAGATTTACGCATTCTTTGTGTAATAAATATACAAATAAAACAAATACATCGATGTACTTGTAAGTGAGGAAAAAAAGGAAGGTAAAATATGTAAGTAATATCACAAACTAATACAGCCATTTACCTTAATTTAAATTACCCGGGGCAATTAGGGAAGTTTATTCTGATTAGTTGCCACTTGTTACTTACAACATACAATGAACGATCACCGAATATGTGGTTTGGTAATTTACCGTTTCGTTTCAAATTATGAAATTAAAATTTTAATACAAAATTATATTCCTGATGGACATTAGGTTTAAATACTAATATGCCTGGCAGCAAGCTAAGTGTGGAAAATAAACAAATTATCCTTACTTTGTTGGGGTACCTAACCAAGAAGAAGGGAAACAACGAACGTTTGATACCCTTTTCAGCTATGTATGATTCGAGTTGCAGATGCTTGACGTCTCACTCGTATAAAAACGGAAAAAGGAGGACACAGCAATAACAACGTCGGGACAATCACACATTGTAGCGAAGTTAAAGACTAAATGATGTCAGTGTAAAAGGAGCAATTAAAAACATTTCACGATCTGAAAAAGCATAAGGAGAGCATGTTATATTCAACATACTGAGTGTAGAACTATAGAACAAACATGTTAGAATGCTTTTAATACAAATTAATAGCGTCTTATGAAAGATTATGGAATTTCATACAAAATTGAAAACAATAGGCAGTTCATTTGGAAATAAGTTGCTTTTAAGCGACATAATTAAGGCTATATATGAAAAAGTCCAAACATAATTTAAGTTTGATTTCCTGGATGAAACGTGGATATTTTTGAAACAGAAAATTTTAAGAAGTTGAAAAAATATCACGAAAATATGGATAACCGCTTTGTAGTTGTACATGCTAGAACTAGCGATGGGTTTATTAAAGACGCGGGATTAAGAAAAGGCTACATTATTATGACACTATACCACACCAGCGCTGTCATGAAACACCACTTAACGAAATAGCGCGTATCAAAATAGGTCATGAGGTATTTCGACTACTCCCATATCAAATCGGTTTGGGGAATCTGTAACAATAATATTCACATTGGAAGAAATGGAAGCGAGAACTAAGTCAACAAAGTATGGAACGATGTTGCGCCTGTAGTTTGGATCAACTATATGAAGCATGCAGAAAAAAACAATTCAAGACGACTGGACAAAGTGGAGGAAGGGTGCTTACAATATATACTAAAGAAAACATTAGAATTATTGATTTGATTTGCAGATAATTCGGTGCGAAGGAGATTGCTTTAGTCAAGAAAATACCTGATTGTTTACGTTTTCTACTTAGACAGATTTTAATCTTTCTCAAAATTAATAATTATTTTCAATATTATTTTCAAAGTATATATTTTTTTTAGGTCCCTAAACTTGGTGGTAACTTATAAATCTCGTCGTGCTACGTTTGAATATTTACATCCGATGCATTTTTTACACCTCAAGCGTTGTTTTATCCACATTGGACACATCTGTCCTACTACATTTACGTATATTGAATCACGTGATTTACAACATCTTAGATGCATCCAATGAGAATATTCAAACGCAGTATTATTTTGTATGTTAGTGATGGCACAGTATAGGGAATTAATCAGTAATGCGACTCTCAAGCGGTACCTTTGATCCGTATCGGTCACGCTTTTTTGCAAGAGTTTTACGGGCGACGCTAATTTGATAGGATTATTCGCCAGGTTGGTAACTTGTTTCTGAGTTCTTTACATAGTTAAAAACTGCACAGTAATACAGCATATTGTGTTTTATTTAAATAAATGAAACAATAAAATTGGAAAAAAAGCACTTCACAATAACTCAACTGACAACTGTCTGCATACAATACTAGCAGAAGGCGGCATTGGAAACCACAATACATCACTTTACAACTCGTCAATTGATCCGGACAACATGGCGGTGCTTAGACACAGTGCTGATGCGCGGACCTTGCGAAAAATTTGAGTCGCCTTACTGTTCCATATTTATACTGTGGTGATGATCTTTCACGCCATAATCGATGAACTGGCCTATATCTTGTTTTTGATTTTATTTTGATTTTAATAAAAAAAATGGTTTATTTTTATGACGGAAAATTTAAATCTGTAAATATTTTTAGTATCCACTTTGGATTCTACAATATAGACTATTACAACGATCCAACTTTGAAAAGACGACCCAAAAAATCAGTAGGCTGGTTACAAAAACTAAACAAAAATAGGCAACTGGACTGTTCAAGTTACAACAGAGAATGGCCTACTCTAAGTTGGGGACCAGAAGGAAAATCACACTTTAGTCATCCGTTTAAACACCACAATTAATGTTATGTTTTTTAATAAATTCTGATATTTTCATTTCTGAACAAGCATTTAATTTTTTTAATCACCCCTTAAAATTGCTTTTGTATACAATACAGTCCATCCTTGGACACCCTTTATGTAAAATAGTATATTGAGGATATAGTAAAATCTGAATAAAACAAAATAAAAAACTGTATAAATTTATTATTAAAAAGCTTTTGAAATCAAGTAACAATATTACACAAGTAGAGGTAGGTATTAATAATATGGGTACATAACAAGGTGACACAATTACAAATGTGTGATACCATAAGCTATAAAACACTGAACAATGGGCCATGTTCACATGTGAGATATGCTGTTTTATAAATTATATTGTAATAGTTACTCGCTATACAAGTTATTCTAAATAGTCAGTTCGTTAAAAAAGCCAAAAGTTTTTAAATTAAGCCCAATTGAAATTTAAAATTTGAAATTATACGTCATCGGGAATAGACCAATCATCTTGTGTCGAAGTTTTTTTTGTTATACAAAACCAAGCCAACGAACAAACCGACAAACAGAATGTCGAAGTGAACGCACATCTAAGTGACATTAAAATTGACACCACCTAACCTTAGTTTTTTGTTTTGGTTTAATTTTATTATTAATATGAAAATCAGCTGGATTTATAAAAGTTGAATCAAGTGTTTTACGCATTGTAAACGAAAATATGATTACCGAGATGATTACTGCATTTTTTAACAATACTCAGTTTACAAAATTCAGAAAGGTAAGACTTTGTTTTAATAGTAGGTAGTTACAGTTTATATGGAGCAAGTAAAACATATTTATCTCCGGTTTTATTTTTAGATCTGCCAAGCAAGAATATGGGGATAATTTCTTTTTCCATAAGAGAGAAGGAGACAAATTACACCTAAACATAAAGTACGGCAAAAACCTTCTGATGAGGTTGTTGTAATTAACAAAAATGAAATTTTTAGTGCACAATATACTTAGGATATGCTGCATGTCAAGGTTTGTAATATTTATTATGCTTTTTTGTTTTTATATTACATATAATAAACAGTGTATAAGGCCCTTTATTCCTATAAATATTTTTTTTCTAATTTTGACATATAGACATTTTTTGTAATCGCAGCAAGTGTTAAAATAATCTAGAAACTAGTGAACCTAGTAATAATTATGATACCAAAGAATGCTGCGGAGCACCTATGAAATTTTGAGTTAAAAAATATGCCATATTTTTAGGCTATTTTTATACCCTTTTCAAAAATTTTATGCAAAACTTAAAATGCTCTGTAGCTTCGAACGAAGTCAGCAAAGCACCTCTGTTTTATAAAGTTTTTTCTTTAAAAACAGCAACACCATATATTTATGCACTAACCTTCGAAAGAAGCCAGCAGAGCAATTCGGTTTTTTAAAGCTTTTTTTTAAAAACCACACCCCATTTTTAGAATATTTTTAGACTCTTGAAATATTGTAAAACTTTACTAAAAAAATTGCTATTTTTAAATAATACAGGGTGCTTTGTTGGAACAAAGTCAGCAGGACACTTCAGTTTTTTAATTTGTTTTTTTTTTTTATATATATATAAAAACAACTACTTATGACACATGTTTAGGCTGTTTTAAAATCCTAAAAATGTGGTAAGTACATTTGTTTTCAGAAAAAAACTTTGAAGTCAGCAAGGAATTGCGAATTTTTTTTAAAATGCCAAATTTCGAATATTTTATAATATTGTAGGAGCCAAAAAACGTGGTGTGGTTTAAAAAAAAACTGGGGTGCTCTGCTGGATTCGTTTGAAGCTAACAAAGCATCCCGTAATTTTTTATTTTATAATACTCAATAGCCTAAAATGAGACATAGCTGTTTAACAAAAAATTGTATTTTTAAAAATGACAGTTTTTTTCGAAAAGCTCTATAATATTTCAAAAATGTGAAAATGTGGTGAGATTGTTTTTTTTAAGTTTTGAAAATCCGAGGTTCTTTACTGGATTCGTTCAGAGCTAGTAAAGCTCTGCTCGTCTTGTTACATAAAATAAAGGCATTTTGTAGCTGGTTATATAGTTATTTTGTAACTGCATATCTAACCCTTTTATTTTTTTCAGTTGGTTGTAAATATGTGGCTTCATAGAAGAAGTGAGGAACCATCTGTAACATCTACTCAGTGTTATTGGAAAGGCTCTAATTTATCAAAATGCGTAAATATTGATGTACACTTGGCTAGATTGTTAAAGAAACCTCTTCATCCACTACAGGAAAATAAATCAGTACTTTTATATTCTTAGGATTTGTATATATATTTTTTATTTGTAAATAAATTGTTTTTTACTTCATTTTTCTCATTTTTTATTAAATGGTTAATAAATAAAATTTCACAGATTTTTATATTTTTGTTTGTAAACAATAATTGAAGAGTTTTTATTAAAAATCACCAATGTTAATAATAATAACTTAAGTCAATATTATTCTTTCTCCTTTTTTAATGCTATTATCAATAAAGATATTACTTTAGCTTGACCTATGAACAATTTTTAAATTTTGTGATATATTTGGTTCGACAGAAAAAAAATTATAACCCTTTGACATTAGTTGTTTTTACTTAGATTTTCATAAAAAATAAACGGAACTGCAAACATGTTTTACTATCGTAATAACGAATAGCAACATTAAATTTTTTTTTCACATTTATCACTGTTGTCATTTTCATAATGGATTGATAAGAAGGCACACTTTCTGGTTTTTTGAAAAAGGTGGCAAGAATTGTGATATTTTTAAATTTATCAGCAGTGATACCACATGTAGTTACTCGATTTATTGGAATATATAGACTTTGCTACCACATTCAACTGAACTTGGTTGTTTTTAATATTTATCACTGTGACATAGGCGTTTTTGTCAAAATGTTTCATTTTAAACTGCTCTAAATTGGTGCCTTTGTTTTGGTAGTTTTAGTCCCAAAAAAATCTATGCATATACAGGTACTCATTCCTCTTTGATTTGTTCGAAAAGTTAAAATTTTATAAAAAATTACATTAGCTGTTTAAAAACTCATTATAATCCCTGAAATGTGATAATTAGGTAAATTAAATTAAAAAAACAAACAAAAAAAAATTATTAAATTAATATTTACTCTTACAAAATAGGTTCTTGTAAGTTAACAAGCAATTATGCAGATATTACTAAGTAAATGTACTTGCTTAAAATTCACACACGAATGTGGTTATAGCATGTTAAATTAACTAACCCTTCTTATAACTCTTTCCACATGTATTCTTAGAGATGCTATTCTTTTACTTAATTGTACATCTTCTGGAGAACTTTTTTCATTCTGTGATACACTAGGTGTGGCTTTACTAAAGTGCATCCCATGTTTTCAAGTAGCTGAATATTCTGAAACCCCTATCTGCCATTATATGGGATCCAGGAACCAGTTTGTTTAAATACCCACATTTTTCTATTATTTCTTTATCACTAGTTCTTCCACAAAATGATGAATAAATTCGGTATCTTCAAAACTTTCAGGAGATTCTGCATTTTCTTCCAGAAGGGTTTTTAGGTTATACACCTAAGAATTTATAGTAGCCTCATTTTCAATTTCCTGAAGGGGACAATTAGCAGAAATTGCTGCTACATCTTGTGGCGGTGTATTTTTATTAAAAAGTTCACGAGAAACATCGCTAGTAGAAGGTTGATTTTCTTCTTTCCAAATTTCTAGGAACGCTAATAAATATTTTTGAAGATGAATGTGAATCATTATTACATTCTGGAACAAAACACTTTTTCGTAGTCATAATATTTATAAAAAGTACAAAATTAAACACTCAAATTCCAAATAAATTCTTGATCGAGACACTATGATGACAGATGCCATACACAGTGCTGCCATTTTGCCATTTTCTGAATTATTAAGTGTCTTTTAAAACAATGAAACTTTAAATATGGTAAAAGTTTAAACAGAAATAATACTTTCAAAAAACATTTGATATTATATATTTAAAAGATATTTGTTTAACGATGTTTTAGAAGTCTAAAAGTAAGAAGGAGTACACAAACGAACGTACATCACTTCTCGTAAACCTTCTAGCCGGCAACGTTGTGCGCTAGCTCCTATTGGTCTATTCCCGGTGACGTCATAAATTTTTAAAAAATTCATAACTACCGCAAATGAATAGATAAAAAAAAAAATAAAAAAAATGTAGTTTTATTTTTAACTCTACTATTCATAAAAAAAATTTCAAAATTTTTGAACATGCCTCCCAAGTAGATATAAAGAGTATATAAGTATATAAGGAATATCTCAAAGGTTCACTAGAATCGAAAACACTGAACCATCGCACAAAAGAGTATCATAAGCGGTGGCAGCTCGTCGTAATTTAAAATGGGTGTTCAATTTTTCCGATAATTTTATCATTTGTAAGTTCGGTTCAAAACTTTGTACAAGAGCCAATATCGCTGTTTTTTTATTATTTGAGTTTTTATTTAGTGTAGTTATTATTATCAACATCATACTGTTTTCAAGCACTACAACTATTAATAAATGAATATTTTAATTAGTGTAATTTTTGTTTTGTTTTTTGTTTTTAATACATTGAAAACCATCTATAAACATTATTAGTTAACTGACTTTTTTTTATAAGTTGAGTTTATTTTTAAATATATATCAGGTTATTATCGCTAAACATACATAAAAAATGAAGAGTTTGAGGATTTTCTCATGGATCCAATTATTAGATTTTGACTAAATTTATATGGGAGCACCCCTGAAGTACCCCCTTTCTAACAAAAAAAGAATCATTGAAATCGGACAAGGTGGTAAAGCATTATCGCTAAACATACATAAAAAATGAAGAGTTTGAGGATTTTCTCATGGACCCAATTATTAGATTTTGAATAAATTTATATGGGACCACCCCTGAGGTACCCCCTTTCTAACAAAAAAAGAATCATTGAAATCGGACACCGTGTTAAAGAATAATCGCTGAACATAAAAAAAAAAATCGCGACGAATTGATAACCT